GATGCAAAGTAAGTGCCCCACCATCCCTGATGCTGCCGCCCACTGCCCCAGCCTGGTTCTCCAGGCTCCGCCGCTGGAAGTCTCAGATTGCCTCTGGGGGAAAGCTGAGTGAGAAGCGGAGCGACGCTTCTCCACGGCCTCCCGGCGCTGCACAGAGGTTCTGCGCAGTGCCGGGATGCCACGGAGAAGCTTCGCTCCGCTTCTCACTCAGCTTTCCCCCAGAGGCCATCCGAGACTTCCAGTGGCGGAGCTTGGAGAAGCAGCGGCCGCAGGCCGGGTCAGCGGGTGGGCGGCAGGGCACTTTGCATCGCGGGAACCGCCAAGTGCCTTTGCTTCAGACCCGGGCGCTTGGCGGCTCCCGCGATGCAAATCCCCCCCCACCGCCGAGGCCGCAAATTCCCCCCCCACTGCCGAGGCTTCACAAAAGGATGCCCAGCTGAGCCTCACCAGGCATAAACCTCACCGCACGTTACTGCCATGATGCAGTCCCACTGAACGAGGCCCTCCAGCCCTTTGCCACCAGCAGCACTTGCCTCCAGCCTTCACCCAAAGCCCTGCACCAAGAGGCGAAAGCAGACCCCAAGTCGGAATTTCTGCCTCTCTCTGACCTGCACAAAAAGACCCCAAAGCGGGGGACTCTCTACAGCAACACAAATTTTCATTGCACGAATCCGGCACTGGGGCCATAGTTTGAGGACCCCTGATTTAGTGCAATATAAAAAATGCAAATAATTTTTCGGCTGACCACCAAAATTTTCTCATGGACCACCAGTGGTCCACAGACCACTAGTTGGTGACTGCTACTCCAGTGTCTCCTTCTAACTGAGCTCAGTTCTGGGTGACTTGCATCTCCATGTAGTTTTCTTAGAGGTAAGAAAACAGAATTACTTCATTTTTTCTTCTTCTGGGATCTTATTTTTCACTTCTAGTTTAGTCTACAGCTGGAGATGTCCTGGTGGTCTCCTGTTCAAACGTTAAGCAGGTTTAAGCTTACTTACAGTAGCTTACTTGAATCAGCCAAAGTCAGCTGATGTGTTATTTTACAGGAATGTATTGTCTAGCAAATATAATGCTAAGATTCTTTTTTGTTTCATTAATTTTCTACATTACCCAGTAGTACTGGTAACTCAGGTAACCATCTCCAAACTGGTAATGTTGATATGCAAGAGCAAGAATAGTCAGTGCTACCATTGGCTGAATACTTTGTTCTTTATCTTTTAACAATCTGGATCATAGAGAATACATTACTCTTTTTGGGTCTGATTTTATTCACCAGCTATCTTAGTTTAGTTTAGTTTAGTTTAATGAAATTTGTATGCCGCCCACTCCCATTGGGACTCTGGGCGGCTAACAGACAAGATAAAAGCATTTAAAAAAAAATTAAAAATAAGAAATACAATATTAAAATTAACACAACATCCATTCTGTCGAAGAGGGGCTGGATATTAATTAACAGCCCCAGGCCTGCCAGAACAGCCAGGTCTTGGTGGCTTTACAGAAGACTGGGAGAGTGGTGAGGGTCCGGATCTCTATGGGTAGTTCATTCCACAGGGCCGGCGCAGCTACAGAGAAGGCCCTCCCCCGAGGGGCCGCCAGCTGGCATTGTCTGGTCGACGGTACCCGAAGGAAGCCCAACCTGTGCGATCTTATTGGTCGTTGGGAGNGCCGACCGCTGCCCTGCTGAGCCTCACTAGGTATCAACCTCACCGCACGTCACTGATTCTATTCTATTCTATTCTATTCTAAATTCAATTAAATCAATTCTATGTAGGCTCTTAAGCGTATGGACTTAAAAGCTATAGCACTTAGTTGCCAGGCGCTTTGTCCTCTGTTGCCAGGCTAAGACCAACCTTTTTCAAGCAATAAGTCTTTCTTTGGTAAATTAACAATGAGTGACATTTCACCCATTTAATATAGAGAAGTTACCACATATAGATGTCGATGATCACTGTGCTCACAAAAGCTTCACTTGGTGAGCTACTACCTGATGTTACTACAACCCTCATTTAATAATTACCTTTAAAATGCCACTTGAAATACAATTTCTTTTAAAAAGGAATTGGAGAGTCCTCAGCTTTTAGAAACTACCCCTATGGGTGACTATTTACCTCAGCATTTCCAGCAATCCTATGTTGGGAAAGTTTCGTGTGGAGGTACTTAACAGATATTATTTCAAGGACAAGCAGAGATTGATGGTTTTAGGATCATTTAAAGGATATTAGGATGTTAGTGATTTGGATTTTTGCTCTGATCTTAGTACAACAACAGTGGGTAGTTGATTAAATAGGATTTCTCTTTTCTTCCAACCTAAAACTGAATACATGGCAATTGTTAGAACTACATGCATATATATCCTTTTTTCCACTTTAAAACAATAGAATGCTCCTTACACAGATTTCTATTCAATGAGAAGCTATACTAATATTTGACTTGTATGTATTTCTTTCTGCCTGAACACATTTTGTGCTTCTTTTTGCAGGTGCACATGAAATCACCACGTTACTTATCACTACCTAAAAATACTAAACTTGCAGAGAAAACACGGAAAAGAAATCAATCCTCCTTTAAAGGTAATGCAGTTTTGGAATAAAAAGAAGAATGAATTATTCAGCATTTTCACTGCCATATAATATAGTTAATTAAATTATAAATTGTTCTTATCCAGTTCTATACTAGTTTTATGTTTTGTATATTTATATCAGATATAGTTTTACTGCCATTTCAAATGTGTTCTTCCATGTCTTGTTTCTAGAAAGCTTTTTCCTAATTGTAAGTTTTAATTTTATCTATGACACTATACAAAGCAAATATTTATTTAGGCATGATAGAAGAGGTGAAAAATGGCACATACAGTCTTTAATTGTACAATCTACAATTATAGATACCATAGTTATCTATAGAAATATGGGATCTTTGCATACATGCACAAACATATATCCCTGAATCTTTCTTTCTCATTTATAGAACATAGAACTCAACTAGGTGCTACTTTTTATTCAGCCAATGAAACCCTTGTCAAGAATAAAGTAATAAGTAAAAGAAAAGTGTGGTCTTGATATATTTATTTATTAATTAAATTTATTGGGTGCCCATTTTACCACAGGGTAATTCTGGGTGGCTTACAATATTAAAAGGATAGAACTATACAAAACATATATGCAATACAAATAAATACCATAAAAATATAAATACTCAAGCCTAACAAGATGATGAGGGAGGGAGTAGGATAAGCAGGGAGAATGTGGGATTTGTTATTATTCTATCAAACATCTCCAATGTGAAGTGCCCTCCACCCTCCACTGCAGTCCCATGTCAGCTGGCAAATCCAGGTCTTTAAGCTGGAGATCAGAAGGGTGGGAACTGACCTTACTCAGGGGGAAGGGGTCAAGATGCTCCAATAGGCAAGTGTGATGGTACTGTTCTGGATTCCATCAGCCAAAATATCCTGGCAAAAAGGGCCTGAAGCATGCCTCCTCTGCTGGCACGATTGGGGCAGACCAACCCCCATTGGCATAACCTGGATCCAGGCCATGGAAAACTTTAAAGGTTATTACCAACACCTAGAAATGTGTAAAACAATAAAAAAAACTGACTATATAGTTCCCACTCCAACCTTGGCAAAAATGATGGAATTGAACTGTCCCCGATACAGTTTTACAGTTGTAAAATAGTAGACAACTACCTCTGATAAGTGGAATGATCTGTTCCAGTGTTGTAAAACCTCTGGCAAGGGTGTTCTGAGGATGGGATTGGACATTTGCAATCACAATATTTCAGTATCAAATGATGTACAACCTATATTGCAGATATTCCCTGGGATGTATAGAAGAGATGGTAGACTATTGAGAACTATGCAAGCGACTCACAACTGATTGGGATTAAGCCTGTTAGTTCAGTTGATTCCAGGTGCTTTCCGACTGCAAAGGATTTCTGACTTCTCTGTGTCACATGTCTATGTCTCTGTCATGTATTTGTCTGTCATGTATAATTTGTTCCTGATTATGTCAGAGTCTATTATTTGTCTATGCCTTCCTATCACAGCCTTTGACTGTTGTCAGTTGGAAGAAACTCCAGGGTTTCTCTTAACAGTTTGGGATACAGCACATGTAACAGGTTGCAGATAATGGTAGTAAATATGCTAAACGAAGCCAGCAACCAAGCAATTTTTCATATGGTGAATCCTACCAAATGATGTCGCAAGTATTAAAACATTTAAAATGTTTTAAAATGTTTTTTTTTTTAACGGATTGTTGTTGGGGGCGATATGCTGACTCTGTAAACCGCTTAGAGAGGGCTGAAAGCCCTATGAAGCGGTATATAAGTCTAATTGCTATTGCTATTAGTTATACATTTTTTAAAGAGTAAAACATACAAATNTTTTTATACTCGGAGCTGTCAAACGACCAGCCAATCAGCTGTCGAGTAACTCCCGCTTAAATGCAACTTTATTGAGCATGCTCAGAACGTGACAGGGTCACCCTGGAAATAGTGAAAGACTGGATTGTGGTGCCTCTGCAAATAAAAATGGAGGTTGGGAGGGGCGCCTATGGCTATCCCAGGCTCTGTTTTTGCTAGCAGCGGGCTGCAGGAGGATCCCCCCCAAGCCCGCTCAAGTCCCCCCCAGGTGTTTCCAACATGAGTGATGTTGAGTTGGCCATGCCCCTGGTCATACCCACCCCAGTTTGACCTTGTGGTAAAAAAAAAACCTGATGCAGCCCTCAATGCAATTGAGTTTGACACCCCTAAGCTAGAGACAACTGGGAGAACCCAGCAACATAAAAAGAACTTTTCCAAATTACTGTCTCTTCATTTGATGGCCATTATGGGAAGAAGGCAAATCATGTAAAAGGTGCCTGCCAAGTGGAACTCTTTGCTGGTCTGTTGGGTGCATGCTGTGGGATTCCGTAGAGCAGTGGTCTCCAACCTTGGCAACTTTAAGACCTGTAGACTTCAACTCCCACAAAGTTGAAGTCCACAAGTCTTAAAGTTGCCAAGGTTGGAGACCACTGCCCTAGAGCCAGCAGTAGAGCCAGCTGTGGATTAGTAAAATAAGCACGTGTTCCTCCTCTGAGCATTCTCCTGTAGTGTCAGTTCTGAAGGGCAGCCCTGGCGATTGGGTTAAGGGTAGAAAGCTGAGGATGGCTCAGAAACAAATCAGAACAAAGACACCTGAGTTGCTTTGCTGCAGTCTTAAAAGTGAAGCCTCAACTGATGCTTCATAAAGCATCTTTAAAGGCATGGTTGATTTGAAGCTTTATCAAAGTGAAACACTCTTTTGAAGCTTTGCACTGCACTAACAGTAAGGCTTTATTTCTTTCAAAACTGATTAGCATTTCTTGCAGGCTATGGAGTTAATAAATATTTCTAAATATATAATTTACCCATGTATATGTATATGTATATGTATATGTATATGTATATGTATATGTATATGTATATGTATATGTATATGTATATGTATATGTATATGTATAT